AACTGCTGCTGTTTGCTTGATAGCTTTTAATTGAATGTTTTCCATTTTGAACTTGCACCCTGAGGTGGTTTAACCACGATGAGAGCAGTTTTGTAAATCAACATTTGAAGACACAACCTTTTTCAACAGGACCAACAAATTTCCATGCCTTGTGCTTGCACACAGCTTTGCCATCTCTGGTTTTCTGCCCACCCCACAAATCAAACATGGCTTTAAAAGGCATCAAAGTGACACATACAGGCGGGAAGTGACAGCTGTGACAATCTTGTGTGCCGAGGGGGCAGCATCCCAGTGGGAGGCAGGCAGGGACAATGCTCACAGCCTCCAGGACTAACCTGATGAAGAAAAGACAGGGGTTCTCCACTGCAGTTCTCTCCCTGCTGGAGTTTTAGGGTGTCCTTCCCCTCCCTTCCTTTGGGCATCCAATATCCCCACTGACAGGGAATACGGATCATTCATAGTTCCCTCAGGAAAATGCCTTGCTTTTCTGGCCAGAGTTTTAGAATGAGCTTCCTTTAAAAGGATTCCATTATTTTTAATGCTATTTTTTTCTTAAGGACTAATCACTGACAATGAGAAGAGTTTAAAATAGAATATGAGGCTTTCAGATTTTAATGGCCCCAGCAAAACTCCATTGTTCACTCAGAAGCAGCTGCATACGTCTAAAAAATCACTTTGAGATTTGGCAGAGTTTCTTAAGGAAGTTGAAGCTCAGCAGAAAGATAAATAAATTATCCTTGAAAATATCCCGAATGCTCAGGAACTAACTTCCAAGGGAATCTTGTCCATTCAATTAATTGTGTAACACTAGCTTTCTAACAGCAAATGCAGGGAACAGGCATCATAAATAATCTGTGGACACACAGAGCCAGAGCTACCTGTCACTGTGGTACCAGACAGCCCTAAAGGTAGGTACCGCACTGCCTCTCCTCTGTCTTCTTCCAAGTGTGACACTTGGTATGCTGGCATTCAGGAGTCCCCAACTCTGGCTTCACACTGAAGCCTCCAGGGAGTCACATCTGGGTCCCGTCACCAGCAAAGCGGCATGGGGGTGAGGCATGGCACCAGGAGGCAACCCCGCTCCCCAGGTGACTGCCACGTACAGCGAGAGTTGGGCACCACATGTGCAGACAGTGACATTAAGTAGATCAGAGAGAAAAGATAATGTGAGCACATGTCCAAGTGCTTGCTTTGACATCTGTTCTCTGACACCAAGGTAGAAACAGACTTCAAGGGCTAGCAAGTTGGGCTGCTCTATCTCGAAAGTGACTGAGTAGACAGATTTGTTTTCTATCAATACTCGAGAACCTTGTAGTTCTTGAACAGTAAGGAATAGGGATGTGGGTCCTAAAAGGTGTCTTCCCTCTGAGTTTTGGTAGGGATCTAGTAGAATCTCCAAAAAAATTTTTGTCTCAGGTCAAGTTTTCCTGGAGTTTGACGACAGCAGCAGCAGCAAGTCCTCTGAGTCAGCTGTGGCAACTCCTACCAGTTACGGAACACTTAATTCTCATGACAACCCTGTCATGAGGCCAATATCTTTCTCCACTTCCAGCAGGAAAGGAAACTGGGGCTCAGCAATGTTGGGTAATATGCCTAGTGCTCTAGTCCAAATTCTAAGTCACTCAACTTGATAGCAGCCACCTTCAGACAAGGGACGTGGCCAGGCTCTCCAGGCCCGCCCCTGTCTTCCATGGGCTTATGAAACCTGCTGTTATCAACGGTCCCCTCTGTCAAGGCTGAGCCTCAGCCATCAGGGAGGTCTCATCTCAAAATGTCACTCAATTCCTCCATGTCTGGGAAGAAACCATCCCAGTGCACCTCCAACCCAAGTGAAAAAGACAGTCAGCAGAGTCAGCATCCTGAGGCGGTGCGGGCACAGTCAGGAGCTCCCCCGCCCTTCCTCAGGGAGGACACAGCGCAGGGCTGGGGTGTGGGGTGAGCCTCACACACTCAGGGGGGACATCGGCAGTGCCCACACTTCACGGCCTGCTAACAGGTACAGAGACCAGACTTGGCGTGTGCGGGTGCTAAGTCAGCCACTGTTGGGTGAGGAGGACCACAGAGGTGAACCCCTCCTCCCTGTGTTTCCGTGACAAAGGGGAAATGGCTGGCAGCGACGGAGGCCCCAGTGAAACCCTGGCAGGGCTGCTCCCCCAGGAAGTCTGGGCTGCGGGGGAATGCACTCACTGGAAGCAGGCTTGGGGCTCTCTTCTCAGGTCAGTTAAACCTCAACACGGTTCCCACAGCCTCAGATCTATGTTTCCAATTCCAACCCTGACCCGCCGGGGGTCTGGAACTCTGATGACTGGGGAAATACCAGTCTCCTGGTATAATGTCCTCGCTCCACAGGACACCCCAGCACACGAGCCCACACAGTGTCAGCATGCTCCAGAAGGAGGTGCCGTTCCAGACCAAGCACAAAGCCAGTCCCGCAGGCTGACACAGAGCCTCACTGCGCAGAGCAGAAGCCACGACGACATCCCCAAGACACAGAGCAGCTTTCTGGGGATTGGAGCTCCCGTTACACAGTGAATTCAGAGGCTCTGCAACTTTTAAGGGGGCTTTCCTTCCTTCCTTGCTTATTAAGAAATACACTTAAATAAGTGTACCACTCTACCTTGTTTATGCCAGTTCATTAGCGTGAGAAGCATTCCCCCTTCAACCTTCCACAACCAAAGGCTATACCTGTCCCTCAGAGCACAGCAGGGACACAGCCTCTCCCGCAGGGCCGCCCCTGTATCCCCCTCATCCCACATCCCCACGGCCTCCTTGGGCTCCCACGGCAGACTGCGGGCCCTTGGCTACGATGCCAGCTTCCCTGCTCTGTCTCACACTCGATTCTGTAGGAAGGTCTCCTCGGGCAGAGGCACTGATTTTGCCATCAGACGTTTCTTCACAGGCAGCGGCAGGACACAGGAAATGCAGTGGACCCTCAGAGTGACCGGGAGACACGGGCTCAAGTCCCGCAGAAATCCCTACTCCTCAGATCACAGGCCACAGAACAGCTCCAGCACAACGATGTTGGCTCCACGAAGCGGACCCTGTCTGTGACTAGAGGGTGGAGCAAAGAGGAGACGAAGCGACATCCGCCTGCAGGAGGGCCCCGCTCAGCCCCTACAGGACATACCTGTGCTGACAGACCAAGGGGCCCAGCTCAGAAGAAGGGACAAGACCTGTGTCTGTTTATACACAACAGGTGACATGCTGGGCTTAGGAGAGCAGGGCAGGAGGCTGGTGGAGCTCTGCAGGGCAGCCTCAAGGCCACAGCTTGGGAACCAAGAGGAAGAGAGTGGGACAGGCAGCCCTGAGCTGCAGGCTTGTCTCTGGCCACGCTGCAGGGACAGGTGCTCTGTGAAGGCCACGGGATTCTGCGGCAACCCCCCAGGCAGAGCTGGGAAAAAGACGCATAGACACTCCCTACACCACATCACCAGATGTGGAGCTCACATGAATGCCCACTTAGAAACTCTCATCTCATAGTTGAGGAACCTAGTCTAATAAAGTGCTCCCTGGTTGCTTCGCCTTCAGGGGGCAGCCCCCAGGCTCTCCTTGAGGAGGCAGCGGTGCAGCCTGGGAAGCAGGGGGCCTGCACATATCAGCACCCGACTCCGCCTCCCCCAGCCATGAGTACACAGGACTAAGTATGCATCCCTGATGACAGGAAACACTCTTCACGGAAGCAGAGACTCAGAGTCCCAGGCTGGGGACAACTCGGTCAGGCCCGCCCTCCACCCTGGGTCTCAGCCTCCGCTCACCCATTCTCCCTGCACACCCCTGGGCTCCAGCCATAGGAGTAGCCTTTCACGGCCTCCCTGAGCCTCTGTTTGCCCACTTTCATGTCCTCCTCACACCACTGCCTCGCCTCGGAATGTTTTGCCTGACACATCTCGGGTCCATCCATCCTCCGAGGCCCAGGTCCCAGGGCACACTGTTTAGTCCTAGACGATCGTGGCCAGCCCCCTTCTCCCCCACCGTCAGCCCCCTGGTACACGGCCTGCCTCCTCTCGCGACCTGCACTCATGTCTCCAGGCGCTGCATTCACTTAGGTGTGGGCCTGTCCTCCCCACCCCAGGAATGCTTCAGGCATCTGCACGGCCTTGCAGAACGGAGGCCTGAGTGCATATGGTCTGAGGGGTTCTGGGTGGGACCTGCTCAGTCATCTCCCACGGGGCGGGGCCTAATCTGGTTTCCCAGGCCTCTCAATGGACCAGCACCCTAGGTCTTTACTATCAGCTAGTCTAGATTTAAAACCCATCACAAATGGCTTAAGTCAACTCTACTGCTGAATTTCAATTTCCCCTTTTACCGGAGGCACAGACCATCTCAAGAAGAGTAGGAGCAAGAAAAGCATATGATAAAAGAGACGCTTTGGGTGACAGTGACAATTCCAGTGGTGGGCTGAACATGGACCTTCCTGCTGCAGGAAAGTGCCTTGTGCCCAATATCCCAGTGGGGGGGACCAGGCGGGTGTGCTCTGGAGCGGCCGCATGGACTCTCATGGCTCCTAACACTGCCCTAAACACTAAACAGTTGTCTTCCATCGGGTGATGAGCGGAGCACTTGGAGTCCCCTGTTTGGCGCAGATGGAAGCCACTTCAAGGAGCTGAAAGGTGGAAGTGGCCCTGCTCTTCAAGGTCCCTTCCCGTAACTCGCTCTGAATTGGAGGACCCACAATTTCATCTCCTCTGGTGCAAGGCACATACTCATCTTACCACACCCTTGCCCCAGAGCGGAGGCTTATTGTACTTCCAGGGCACAAAGAGCATCCAGCTGACCCTCTGCAACCATAAAGCCACAAGACAAGATACATAGCTGAAGCCCACGCCCCAACCAGAAATGCAGAGTCAGTGCAAATGGGCTCTCTGACGTGCAGGTCGACAATTCGAGTCAGAGAGCTAGAGGGTGGTCTGGGTCTCAGAGCGGAAGAGATACCTGCCGCAGGCAGGCACCTGAACGGCACACCGGCTCTCTGGGTCCCGAGCAGCAGAGGCGCCACTTACTATTTCGTTTGCTCTCCTCCCCTCCTTCTTCTTCATTCTCAGGATCAATGTCTTCTGCTTGGGTGATCCAGTCCAAGTAGCCCTTAAGATCCTCTTCCAGCTGCTGCTTCTCCCGGAGCTTCTGGAAGTCTCCCCGTGCCTTCGCTTTCTCCCTTTCCTTCGAGAACTCTCTGAGGGGGGGCAAAGAGAACAGGTACACGTCAGACGTCCCCGGGACCCGCCCTGAGAGCCGTCTGCCCGGCCGCACAGCGGTCTTGCGGCAGGACACACAGCATGAAGTACAGCCACGCGAGCACACACGGGGGCCACACACGTGGACAGGACACATGGCAGTGCCTCCCCAAGCAAGACGGTGGGGGTCAGAGCTGCAGAGACCACGCCAATGCACATGCACGTCCCTCAGAAAACCAGCGGCCCTCGGGAGCTCTGTGCTCCCAACGAGCCGGGGCCCCAAACACCATGTGCTGTCAGAGCAGGCCCTTGATCCCCCAGCAGGGGCCTGGACTCAGAGACGTCCCCCTTCCCGCAGAGCCTCCTCAGATAGCGGGCATGATGCTTCAGAGAGAAAGGACCCAAGGGGGCCGAGCTGTGGTCCTAGAGGGCTTCTTCCAGCCTCGGAGGTAACACTCAGCATCCTCATGTGTACTGGCCCCTTTGTCCAAACCGTGAGCCCTGAGACCCCACCCCCACCCCCTGCAGATTCAGCCAGAGGAGTGGACAGGCTCAGAGCAGAGAGCCCTCCCCCGACCCAGACAGCCCCGCTCCCCCTTCCCAGACAGGAAATGGAGCACCTGGGAAGCGCTGTTATCTTTCTTAACTGTCGCTTCTTGCCATGATCTTTCCCCCCAAAGTCCTCCCCATAGGAGGGGAAAACGGAGCATGATTTGTTGCCCATTTATGGGAACACCTGCCCTGGAAAGGCTCTGGCAGATGAGGAAATGTTCCCAACTGTTCATGGTTTACTCTACTTTTCCTGTCTGCAAGCCTGGATCTCTGCATATCTACAGAATCCCACACTGGCTGAGGCAAGGCAGGAAGTCAGGCTGATGACTACCCAGTTCTCATAGACGAGGAACCATCTGCATTTCCAACCGTGAACTGTCACAGGAGCCAAGGTATGTGTGTTATGGATTTAGGAAGTATGATTACAAAGCTGCTAAGAAAGCAGGTGCGACGACAGGAGTGCAGCTCCTGCACACAGACCACTGATGCCGACGGACGCCACGTCTGCCTTCCTCCCAGTACGAAGCCAGCGCATCTCCCCTGCCGGGACCGCGTTAACCCGACCCAACCGAGGAAGGGCAGGTGCCCTGCTTAAAGTCAACTCTGCTCCCTCTCCCCCTGCCCGCCCTCAGCTCTGGGCTGTGGGTGAGCTGAAGAGACACGTGAACACCTAGTGACACTGATGCTTCGGGTAAGACACCAGATCCCTCCCCAGGGTGCCGGCCTCTGCCCGCCCCCACTAGAAAGGACACCCTCACTGCCCCTAAAGTTTTCAGATGCCCCAGGATCTGTCCTTTCTGCTAGAGCTGGTCTGTCCCACCTTCACCTGCTGAGATGTGAGGAGGGGGCAAGACTGTGGGGCATCCTGAGCCTGGCTCTCGGGGGAGCCGACTCAGGGGGTTCTCAGGGCAAGTTAAAGCCGATCAAGGCCTACAGCCTCCTGGAGAGAACACCTTCCCTCTCAGAATGAAAGGCCTCTGAAGGCAGCACCTTGCTGCTCACAGAACCATATCCTGAGAACAAGATGGGGCTTCTCAGCCTTGGCTTTCGGAGATACCAGACCTGAATAACTCGTTCCTGGGCAGGTTCACCAACTGAATCTGAATTCTGAAAATGTCACACCTGAACCAGAATCTTCTCCTTGAACAAGTGGAGGGCCTGGAGTGTCACATGTCAACATGAAAATGCATCACATAATCTGTTCTCTTAAATACATTGTAAAGACCAAGCCTGTGGGCCTTCAAGTCTATTGTTTACCAAAAGAGTTGTTGTTCAGTCACTACATCATGTCTGAATCTTTGTGACCCCATGGGCCACAGCACGCCCGTCTCCCCTGTCCTTTACTATCTCCCGCAGTTTGCCCAAATTCATGTCCATTGAGTTGGTGATGCCATCTGACCATCTCATCCTCTGCTGCCCTCTTCTCCTTTTGCCTCCAATCTTTCCCAGCAGAAATATCCCAGCATAAACCTTTCTGTGTGTTTGAACTCAAGAGTACTCCATTCACATGATAATGTACAAACAGAGTGTCCTGATTCTGGCTACATATCTCATCTGAGTTCTTTTAAAAAAAAAATTACTAAGATAGCAGAAGAGTCACTCCTAAGCTTCACAGGGGATCTGGCTTTAGTAATACATTTCATTTTTACATCAGAAATACAAAAGACCGTCTAACAAGCTGCCTCACTGCTGCACATTCTGGTAGTTGGGGCACAGCAAAATACACCTAGGTAAAATCTTTTTGTGACTAGACTTTCTGAGACTAAAAAACACTGCCAAGTTCTGGCTTGTGGCCCATTTACTGTAAATACTAAAGACTATTGTAACTGTTCATGTAACAGAATTATTAATATAAACTCTCTGAATTGATTTTAGACAGTTCTGAATGGCCTAATACTTAGCAGGCACGTAACCTTTCCTGATTTGGACAGAACTGAGACTGACAAGGCATAAATCTCCTGTCAGCTCTGAGATGGAATGGAGGAGAAGGTGCAGGGAATGGACTCTTTGTGACAAACTCAGGGCCCACATCGCTCCTCTCAGACCACACTGGGCTCTATGTCTGAAGACCTGGACTCTATTCCCCACTCTGTCCCTTTTCTGAGCTTCAGTTTCTTCACCTGCAAAACAGACATGCTGCCTTTGCTCCTGTCTCACAGGGATGAAGTCAGACATTCAACAATACGCTATTGTGAACATCACAAAGCACTGTACAAACATGAAGTTCAAAAGTATAACATTTAGTTGTCGAATCTGGGAATAATAAAAGGCAACTAGAGGAGGTTTCTCAAGTACTGAAAGGAGAAAAATTGCAAACGGCTCTGAATGGGCTCTAAGCTGCACGACGCCAGCGGAACTGAGGGAGGCACAAAAGGACATGTGGGATCCCAGGGCATGGAGTGACCTCAAAGAGCCAGCAAGAACCCCATCAACCCTGTGCCACTCTGCTCAGTGGAAAACAACGCATTCACAACAAAGCCTTCCGGAAAATCTCACCTGAGTCCACTGAAACGTTATCAACTTCAGTGGACGATGAAAACAGTTTTCCATTTCATGTAAGAATCTGTCATTCTAGAAGCCTAGTACTAAGGGATTAAATAACACTCACTATTATAAAAGTTAATTTAACAAGTCTACTGGTAGAAACCACCAGACTTTCGCAAGTGACTAGAAATCTGACACCTCACATTTGAGAGAAGCCTACCTGTTCCAGATAAAGTCAAAGTCGCTCAGACGTGTCCAACTCTTGCGACCCCATGAATTACACAGTCCACGGAATTCTCCAGGCCAGAAAACTGGAGTGGGCAGCCCTTCCCTTCTCAAGGGCATCTTCCCAACCCAGGGATCAAACCCAGGTCTCCCGCATTGCAGGCAGACCCAGGAAACAGACCGGGGTCTCCTATATTGCAGGCAGATTCTTTACCAGCTGAGCTACCAGGGAAGCCAAAGGGAGATTTTAAAAGTGCTTGGAGAAAAAAGCACATATATCGTGCTACCCTTTGTATGCAAAAGAAGAGGAAATAAGGAAACCTTATCTGAAGGTTAAAGCACAAAGGGATGGAGGGCCCCAAGCAGGAGGGACACTAAGTGTACCTTTTTCTATAATCTAACTTTTAGAATCATGCTAATATTTTACACATTAAATTAAATCAACAAAGATAAGATGGAGAGAAAACACCCTTAAAGTAGAAGTGAAATAAATGAATCTGATTGTTCTTCAAATGAGTGTCATAATCACCCTGAAGGAGAGAGACACAACTAGTTCAAGTAGTTTATGAACATTTGCTATATGCTCTTATCATCTGGGCAGGGCTGGGATGAGGGTGGAACCACAGACAAATGCTGAACTCTTTTTAGCAAGCTTGTTTTTTTGCAGTGATATGGATGAAACCTTGCCGAAATGACATTAGATATATTATAGGATTTGGCATCCGGTCTCATCACTTCATGGGAAATAGACGGGAAAACAATGAAAACAGTAACAGACTTTATGTTCTTGGGCTCCAAAATCACTGAAGATGGTGACTGCAGCCATGAAATTAGAAGATGCTTGCTCTGTGGAAGAAAAGCTATGACCAACCTAGACAGCGTATTAAAAAGCAGAGATATCACTTCACCAGCAAAGGTCCATAGTCACAGCTATGGTTTTTTCCAGTGGTCATGTATGAATGTGAGAGTTGGACTATAAAGAAAGCTGAGCACCAAAGAATTGATGCTTTTGAACTGTGGTGCTGGAGAAGACTCTTGAGAGTTCCTTGGACAGCAAGGAGATCAAATCAGTCCATCCTAAAGAAAACCAGTCCTGAATATTCATTGGAAGGACTGATGCTGAAACTCCAATACTTTGGCCACCTGATGCGAAGAACTGACTCCTTGGGAAAGACCCTGATGCTGGGAAAGATCAAAGGCTGGAGGAGAAGGGGACAATAGAGGATGAGATGGCTGGATGGCATCACCGACTTGATGGACATGAGTTTGAGCAAGCTCCAGGAGTTGGTGATAGACGGGGAAGCCTGATGTGCTGCAGTCCATGGGGTGGCAAAGAGTTGGACATGACTGAGTGACTGAACTGAATTGAGGATTTCACAAATGAGTTAACAGGTCAATGCACTTGGGAGCCAGGGTTCTTCCTGTGGAAGGAGGGACACAGAAAGATGGGAGAGGGAAATAACCCTTTGGGGATGGACTGCAACTAGGATGCTGATGTGAACTCATGATTTCTAAAGATGTACACATATGACTATATGTATGTAAATGTATCTACCTCCTAGCTGTGTCAGAAAGACCTAGAAACAAAGACATTCCCACTGCTGGTAGCTATGAGCACACCTGGCATCCAGATCTTGGTCTCTAATACTATTTCCCATTAAAAAGATCAGTAGACTTTTGAGAAATGGCTGATTCCAGGGATGAGGCAGAGCAGATATAGGAATAAGAAGATAAGAAA